TCTCACCCTGGGCCTCGCCGCTGTCGACACCGTGGTGGGAGTGCTCACCCCCTCATTTCATCCTTCATCATCTTATCGCAGCCAGATACTGTCCTTCCTCCGTGTGAAGGCAGAGATGGGCCGGCTGCCACCCGCTCCCTCCCTCCCTCCGCCCCACACTCTAGGGGCTGAGCTGCCTGGATCGCGCGCCTTGCACAAGCGCATTTACACTTTTCTTGGTGCGGCTATGCTGGGGACAGGGAGGGACAGGGCTCCTCCGGTGGGGGTGCGAGGAAGGAAGGGCACGTGGGCGGGGCCTGGGGCTGAGACCCCCACTAGGGGGACCAGGGAGGAGGCCGGGCACCCACTTCCCTTATCTGGCCCTGGGATCTGGAGGAGCTAAGCCAGAGGCAGTGACAGATAAAGTGAGTGTTGGCTTATCAGGGAGGGTCCAGCGGGCCTTCCGTTGGGTCAGGGGGGCTGCGGGGGGACAGCGCTTCCTGTGTGTCCACATGGGTCCTCCTGAGGGGGCCCCCATGCAGGGCCACGTTCACTGGCTGCTGGTGGCCCGCACCCCAGGTCCAGGCGAGGGTGGCACTCTGGGGTACGCCACCCCTCCTGGAAAATGGGCACAGAAATGAGTCCTGTCAATCATCGAGTGGACCACACCCATGGTGATTCGAGTCCTGGGAGTTTGGGGGTGCTGCAGGAAACCATGTATGGGGCGTTGGTGGAATGAGCGGGGTCTCAATGCTGGAGGCAAATGAGCTAAAACAGGTGAAGGCCTGAAGGCCCATCATATGGGGTCCAGGGAAGGGCCTGGAAGTCCAGGAGGCAGAGGACTGGGTCCCTCCCGACCTGCCCCACCCCACAGTGGGCAGCATCCGGCCCCCGGGGCCTGGGAAGGCCGGCCCTGGCTCCAGCCCCACTCCCCTGGCTGGACAGAAAGGGCAGTTTCCCCTTTCCCGAGGGTCACCTCCTATGTGTGTGGCTGTCACCGGTTCACGCAGGCCCTGCACCCAGAGGTGGTGCCACTCACATCTGTGTTCATCAGAGCAGACGTGGCTCATGCACTTCTGAGCTGAGGCGCCGGGTGGGTGCCGGCGGGAAGGAGACCAGTCTGTTCCCGGAGCAGCTCGGTCTTGGTGGGTCATCAGGCAGCCTGCCCCCGTGCCTCAGTTTCCACGCGTCTCAGAGAGGACTCTCCCATCGGGACTGTGACTTGGAGCTAGGCAGGGAGCTGAGGGTTGGGACCGGAAAGTCATAGCCCTTCCCAGAGGCAGCCAA